TCTCCTATCCTAGCATCTCTTCATTGGCTTCCTGTTAAATCCAGAATATAATGTATAACCCTCCTTCTGTTGGGATCCTGAGGCTTGCCCACCAGAGAGCGCCGAGGATCCCTTCCTAGCGGTTTGTGTTACTGTTGGGATCTGGGGTTCTGTCTATCTTTTCTCCACCAGAGGGCGTATTGGATCTCCTGAAGCTGGAGCTGACTTCACCAGCTGTTCCTTATCTGCTCATCAGGAGACCAGTATTTAAGTGGGCTGAGGACCACACTCCAGTGCCAGAGTGTTAGTCAGTCACGGTTGAACCTGCATGAAACCGGAAACCCCCTGAAGAGTTTTCTCTGTTGGAAATCGGTTTGACTGATCTCAGAAGAACCCTGGAGAACCAAACCTGCCAAAGATCTGCCAACCTGCTCCCTGAAGAATCTGGGAGGGAAACTCAAACCCGGAAGCCCTAAACCAAGCTCAGCCTCCTCCAAGTCCTCAGCCTGCCGACAGCCACTGGACCCTCCTGGTTCCCCCGCCGCTCAGCTCAAACCTCTGAACAGTGAATCCATTTGTGACCAGCCCCTGGACCTGATTACCCACCTGACCTGTTTTTGTACATATCCTTCATTAAACCTTTGAACTTTTCCCCTGCCTCCGGTTGTGTTCTGCATATGGGCTAGCATCCTGAAACCCATTATGACACCTTCTCACATATAAAGCCTTAAATGGCCAAGCTCCATCTAATATCAGAGATATTATTGTTCCTCATGTTCCTAACAGAGCACTTCACTCTAAATCTGCAGGTTTACTAGTGGTTCCAAGAATTTCTAAAAATAGAATGGCAGATCTTTTAGTTATCAGGCATCTCTCCAGTGGAAACCAACTACCAGTTTTAGTCTGAGGCTACTTTTAAGTGTAGGCTTAAAACTTTCCTTTTTGATAAAGTTTATAGTTTGAGGGATTTAGGTCATCCTGAGGTATCTCTATTGTTAGGCTGCTAAAGGCTGAGAGTTAAAGAGGACATAGGGACCCCTATTTCATCATTCTGCTTCATTCTATCTCTATTCTCCCACTCTGCAGAATATGTCAGTTCAATCTCGAATGTTCTGCTCTCTCTGCTTTTTGTCACAGTAGCTTTGCCTCGTCTGTTCCTGTTTGGCTGTGACACCATTATGGAGAGAAATATCAGCTGTGCTGCAACACATTTGTTTAAAGATGTTCGAGATTGGCCATTTTTTTTTCAGTGTAGTCCTGTTGCTCTGACTGTGACTGGCTGGATGTGCTCTCTTAGTCCTCTGACATGGGAATTGGCTCAGAGCTCATCTGCCTGGCTGTGTGTTTCCTGGACGGGCCGCAGATTGTGTTTCTTCTATGGGTTTAAAACTGAACAAGTTATTGTGATTGCACTAACTATGTGTTATATGTAAGTTGAACAATTTCAATGTTGTCAATGCTCTAACTTTTGATTCATCAATAGACTGTTTCTTTTAAGTGTTTACTGAATCAGGGAAAAGTTCCCTCCATTCTTCAGTTACATTGGTGTGAATGTGCAAACATTCAAATTGAGCTTCATAGACCCCAATGCATTCACAACATGCAGTTGGCGCTATTGAATAGAAGTCTACATAGAGGGCATCATGGGAGTGAACAGAGCTGTTAGAACGCTTTTTTTTGCATTGCATCCTCAAAAGCTGAATGATTTATCTGACTGTTTTGTCGACATTCCCTTTAGTACAGCTCCATCTAGTGGATGCATAACACAACCCCAGTTAGGCTTGACTGCAGCTTCTATTGTATGGGCCTTATAACCCGGTGTGCCCTATTTATGAAAACAGCCGGTCCCCATTTTTAAATACCACCCCGGTCTGCCAATCCAGGGGAACTGCCCCCTATGTCCACACAATGTTGCAGAGCCGCGCTAACCAGAACAGCCCCATAACATCCAGAGCCCTAAGGTACTCAGGGCGAATCTCATTCACCCCTGGAGCCTTGCCACCGAGGAGCTTTTTAACCACCTCTGTGACTTCAGCAACAGAGATGGGAGGACCCAAGCCGGAGCCACCAGGCTCTGCTTCCTCGATGGAAGACGTGTCGGTGGGATTAAATAGGTCTTTGAAGTACTCCACCCACTGACATACAACGCCCCAAGTCAAGGTCAGCAGCACACCACCCCCACCATAAATAGTGTTAGTACTTTTTAATTTGAAATGTCTGATGTATTTTCAGGAAGGAAATACATCAGACAAATATACAATCCTGGGGGCCACTGCCCAGAGTGCCTGGGATCATTACCAAGTTACATGGTTTGTTAAGAGATTACAGCAGCAATGTCCACCAGTTAATTTTAAATTTAAGTGATGTTGCCCACGTAAATTAAATAAATGAAGGGTCCTGCTCTTAAGTACATTAGAAGTTACACCTTCCAGACATAATTTTTTGTACACCTTATAAGATTCACATTTTTCACATTGAAATGTGTGCTGAAGCTTCCAATACTGTATTAATTTATGTACCTCTTTAACAAAGCTTCTAGTAACATTTTTACTAACATAAATACTATAATAGTATAATAATTTCATGATTTATATCATAGTTCATCTCATGAAATGTCACTAGAATTTTTTTCTTTAATTTGATCTATTTTTCACATCTTTCTCACTCCAATCTTCTTTCACAATAAGCAGTGAATAATTCAAATGTACATTAGCACAAATATCTAAGAACTGTGAGATCTCCTTTGGCCCCTCATATCTGCTGCCATCTTATCTGCGGATGTGCTGATTGACTTCTGATCATTGTTTTGCTCCGTTTACTTGAATTTAGCAGAAAAAAAAAGTCCCACGGAGAATCTAGCTGCATGGGATTATTTATTTATGCATCTGTAGCTCTTTCATGTGCTGAATAAGAACATTGTAGAACTTTTTTAAGACATAGTGAAGTTCTATTGAATATTTTCATCCAATTCCAACTCTTAAATGTATTAATCTTTAGTATAAAACTGATATTATAGGAACATATAAAAGTTGCTTTCAAAAGTAGCTACCAAACTCCAGCAGGCTGAGATGCTATAGTGCCAAAACGAAATATGCTAATGATTAATCTATTCCCTTTTCGTTTTAATTATTACTAGGTTATATTTAACAAGGCAAGCAAAAACTGTGCTCAGTTTCTCCATATTGTATAATGGCATTCATTTGTATTTTCATTGTTGTTTTTTCAGGTTGCAAAATAAATGATACAGAAAAAAAATGATAAAGAAAAAAATCTTTGTCTATTTCGATTTAAAGTTTATGTTGGATTTTATTTTATTCACTGCAGAGATTTAATTGTGCGCCGAAAACGTGCAAGCAGTGCGCAGTTGGGCAAGGGCGCAGCTTTGAGGAAACATTTGCGCTCACACTGTTAGTCAATAGATGGGCATTATAACCAGGTCAGCCATTGTCTGGGGGCCCCCAGCGAGCTCGGGCCCTAGGCAGTTGCTTGGTTTAATTGACTTGTTGCAACGGGCCTGAATGTTATGAGTAAGGCCTGAGAAAAAGTCTGGCTTGTTATGAGAACGATTATTTTTTACATCAAACAATCCCAAATAGAATATAACTATCAGCTTTCACTCAGACACAGTTTAGCCTTGCAGCTGTGAGTCCTGAGTGAATAAATTTAGAAAGTAAATAAAATATTAAGGAGAGATTGTAAATGTATTTTTTTCCCATATCAGACCAATAGAATACATGCCAGTTTCTTAAATATCATATGTAGCTTAGATTTCACAGTCATCATGAGCAATGAAAACATTGTATTTGGTGTAAGGTGGTGGGATCTAGCAGTGCTCTGATCGCTTGTGTTGCTTAAATTCACATGCATTGTGATGTCTGAGCATGTTATGATAATAAGGAGCAACTATTAGTATTATATTTTGACTTCACAAAACTACCAAATCTCAAACTTGTCTCCATACAATTAGTCAAGGCCTGACAAAACCAGACCATCACCACCCGAGATCAATCTGAAGACCGGGAAAATAACAGGTCGGAACTGATCTAGAAACCAAAACTGGTCTCTGGACAAAGAGCGGCCTCTAGACCTCCATCTCAGTCAAGGATCAAGATCTTGCAAATATGATCATGAAAAGCTGACATAATACTTAGTACATTAATCTACTTTAAAAATAACCATTAGCAGCAGCCCATTTCTACTTGTACTGTAAGGAGTAGCTCCTACTAAGATTCTATGCCCCAACATCATCTATGATAGCCTGACGTAGTCCGACTCAATTCTAGTCAGAATATGAGTCTGATACTGCTCCATAGAGCTGTGATTATGGGGCGTGTTTCGAACGAACCAGGAAAAAAAATGCCTCTGCACTCAATTGGATAGACCTACAACCAATAAGAGCAACGGAGTGCGTGACGTATGTTAAGCGAGGCATAGTTGTTGTCCACAAAAATCAAAGCGTGCAGTTTCGCGTTTCTCTGTTCCTCTTTTAAAATTAATTTGCTGTCGATATCTTCTAGAACAGACCTAATAGCAGAATCTACTCACCCAAACTCTCCAGCGGCAGCCATTATTGTTGTCACCCTAGCGCGCTTTGGTCACGTGGTTGATTACGTTACTCTTGATCATCTGTCCATCATCGTATAAAGTCCGCCCTGACAATTTGATTGGATCGCCTGACAGTGGGCTTTAATACTCGCGCTACTATGGAGCAGAGCCAGACCGAACTTCCCCGAACTCAAACCTTGTGGGCGGGGCTAAGTTCTGACTGGCACCCAGGCTACATCTATGATATACCGGCACCAATATGTGGGAAAAATATTATTTTAAGTGTTGCAAAAAAGTAATAATAACATATTCCCAAGAAATTAGTCTTGTGGAAGTAAAATAAAAGAAGACTGGTCAGACTAAAGTTTGGATTAATAGTTAAAGGGGAAAAAACTAAAATTTTAACAAAACATACAAATTCACTTAATATGACTAGATGAAGACAGAGAATAGACGATATACATTATATTGTTTTCATGCTTCAAAAGTTTATTTAATGCAAGGCTAAAGAAAAGAAAATGGTTTTTCCCAAATAATCATTTATAAAACATTCACACTACTTGAATCTACCTTTTGTTTTATATGTGATTATATGAAGTACATAGAAGAAGCTTTTAGAAAATAGGATTTCTATGTGGCAGAATAACTGAAAGACAATATAGCATCCTCCACCGGTTCTGGTTCAAGCTAATTTATACCAGAAAAAGGCTTCCTCTCGGACTGCTCAGACTTTCTTGGCACAGACAGATGGGCGACCATACCAACATCCTACGTCATCCCAGCACTTTCCAGCTAAGCACACAAAAACAAAAAAATCTGTTAATATCACAGAAACAAAATCCTGTTTATAAAGAACCATTATTGTAGGGAGGCTTGATATTCTTCAACTGTTTTTCCAAACAAAAACACGAAATAAACAACAATATATGCCCCTGTATTTAATCCAGTAAATGTAATATTGTTCTTGCTTAAGTTTTACTTACATAGTTAACTTGCTAATTACCCATTACTCCTTTAACTGCTTGAAAAACTTACACTGATGTGTGATATTTTCTTTTACCTGAAGAGTTCATCTCCAAACAGTGCTGGGTGCCTCTGCAATTGTTAGGCTGTCGTGGACACCAGTTTGTGTAGTGGAAATAGCTTCCATCACTCCAAAGCCAAATGCTTGTCTGAAAGAAAAGAACCCAACAGAATATAAACGTCTCTCAATCATTTATCAAAATACTTAAAAAATAAACTAACTAGTAAAAAAATACCTTCTGTGCATTACTGCCTCCAATCCATGCTCGGTTGAACCCATAAGTTGCCGTTCTTATCACATGCTGAATATGATGGTACTCCCTTGGGTTATGAACTGATGCCAGGTGTCCCCCCATGGACATGCAGTGCCTCTGCAGACAAAAAACAGAATGGTGTACAGAAGTAGTAGCTGCATTTTTTTTTATTAACAACAATAGGATAAGAGAGTAAAATAGGATAAGAGCAGAATGTTATTGAAAATCACCTCAGCTGAAGCCCAATCCAAGGGCATGGAAACATAGTGGTAGCAGTTAGGGATGGGGATCGAAACCCGGTTCCATCAAGGACCCGGTTCCACTTTTTTCAAAACCCGAAAATCAATAACGTTTGGGCTTATCGATACCACTATCGAGTCTGGTCGTTTGTTTTTTTTTTTTCTCCCGGAGGTCCTGTAACATAATTGTGTGTCCCTCGAGTCGCGTCACAGCATTTAAATCTAATCAATCCAATCACTGGAGCATGTCCACCAATGTTTTGGAATGAATTTGTAAGCAAACAGATATTAAAAGTAAAACAAGTGAATTCTGGCACTTAACTTTGCTCGCGACTCGAGAATGGCTGAACGGAAAAGACTCCTCCGCTGCAGTCAGGCCCGTCTTAATCATCCACTCAGAGTACCACTGGTAAGCGCGCACACAGACTTTGTAGCTTGTCCGGTCAGTTAAAAAAAGTAATTGTGAAATCCGTGTTGTAATCGGCAGCATACAAGCTAGTTAGCTTGAAAAGTAAATAAAGTTTCAGACGTGCTGCGTGATGATGCGTTCAGATTGGCTCAGTAAAACGACAATTAGGTTATCATGATGCGTTCAAGTGTAACGTAAAGAAAACGGGAAATTTAGTTTTTGGCGAGAAACATGAGTAATACAGTTGTATATTGCTCTAACTATTTTAGAATATATAATTAAACTACTGATGCCAACATTTATTAAAAATTACATTTAATTTAAAATACAATTATTTATTTGTTAAATATTTTCCTAATCACTAAAAACATGATGAAAAGTGACAGTAGACAATACATCCACCAACAATTGTGAAAATATATTCTAGTTAGTTTTATGTCATTTCGAAGTGGCCTATTACATTAGCCATGATTATTGAAGGCTAGAAACCTTTTTGTTATGCTCACTTGTTAAGCAATAGAAGCAATACCAGTTCTGTTAAAAAAATTTTGTTGCTTCGTCTTTCCACCAAATAACAGAAAAGTATCGATAGTGGTATCGATAAAGACTCGGATCGATAAGGAGTATCGATAAAGGTATCGATATCAATAAATATTAACGATCCCCATCCCTAGTAGCAGTTACCGTTGTACTCAGACCAGCCAGAATGACAAGAAGCAGATCTCTGTATCAAGTCCATTGATTCTAAAGACAAACAAATGGAGAGCCTTAGTTAAAAGCAGAGATGGCAAAAGTACTCACTTTCCGTACTTGAGTAAAAGTACAGATACTTGTGTTAAAAAAATACTCTGGTAAAAGTGGAAGTACTGACTAAACTTCTTTACTCAAGTAAAAGTAACAAAGTACAGGCGTGTAAATTTACTTAAAGTATAAAAGTAAAAGTAGAACCCACTTTTTTCATGCCGTTGCCTACATTTTAAATGGATGTCTGCCAATAGGACAAGATCTCCTTTGTGTTCATTTTCAATCATCTCGTCGTCCATGCTACTATGCTAACGCCACCGCCACCAAGCTGCAATGATTTGCCGCCAATGAATACCGCTGAATCTGTCGATTCATCTTGTAGTGGTGCGTCAAATGCAACGTAGATTCCCATCCAATTAGATTGAATTTGGTATTGATGACGTGAAAAATAATAACGGTAACTCCATTGAAATGATTCAAAACTAAAGTAACGAGCCAATTTTTTAAAATGAAAGGAGTAGAAAGTACAGATATTCGTGTAAAAATGTAAGGAGTAGAAGTAAAAAGTCGCCATAAAAATAAGTAGTAAAGTAAAGTAAAAATATCAGAAAAATCTACTTGAGTACAGTAACGAAGTATTTGTACTTCGTTACTTCCCATCTCTGGTTAAAAGCAATGTATTTCAGCATTAGAATAAACTTTATTCTTCATGATCCTATTAAAAAACAACACTCACTGACCTTCATCAGCAGAGCCATCATCTGGAACAGCTGTGGGTATTTTAAACAACAGGAATTAGTGAGTTTGTTTGAGTCTTAGTAACTTTACAAACTCTGTATACTTTAGAAATGCTTACGATCAGCTCCGGCCCATGCCATCTCAGAGAAAACCAGGACACACAAAACCAACAACTTCATGATGGAAGTGATGAAATGATGGAGATATACAAGCTGAAATTAATGAAAAATAAGTTACATATTTAATGAACATTTAAACTCATCAGTGAGTGAAATAGAAGCGCAGAGAGTCGATCAGCAAACCTGATTCAGAATGGTTTGTTTTCTTCGTCTGCCAGGACCACCTAGGGCTCAATGTGCCATCCCAGGCTTCTTATAGAGCTACCAACCTTTTCATCATCCACAAAATAAGGAAATGACTCAGAAACTAATTCCACAGCATAAAGTTACATGATCAGATCTGGTTTGTAACCTGTGCTAAAATTACCAAAGACCAACGCCCCACATTACCATTTATGCCTGTCATGGCTGTGAAAGTTGCAACAACTCCGTGATAACGTTTTTGTAAGAAGTGGGGTCTAAAGGCCATTTGTGGCCCTCTTGGACTTTTCCGTAGCTCCTGATTGCAATTATAAATAGTTTAAATTAGGTTTACCATCGATACACATTTAAGAAATTTATTAGGTTGTTATTCTGATTTAGAAAAGAATGCAGCGAAATTACATCCTTCCTACAATCCCTCAGACATGTGAGGTGAAGCACACATTTTTGACCATCTTTCAGTCATGTATTTGCTTGTGGTTTCATTCAGTTGCCAATGCAACAAAACTCCAGTGGCATTCAGAGAAGAACTGACTTTTTTTTAGGCTGATTTAATTAAGTCAACGAAATGAAGCAAGATAGTGCCATGTTCTTAAAAGACACACAAAATATGGAACAAAAATCAATCTATATTCTTTGTTTGTTTTTTTTTTTTTTCATTTTCACCAGGACATCCAAAATACTTTAATATTTCAATTTGCAGATCCCTGCCTTAGTGTTTTATCTGGAACACTTTGGGAAATTTAAATTAAATGAAAATTGGCTTTCCAGTCAAGAGTGTTTTGCATGTCTAAAACCAGTACCAGGGAATGTATATGAGGTACAGTGTATTTTGTGCAAGAAGTCATTCAAGCTCGGCATGATGGGAATCAAGGCATTGGAGTTTAACATTCAAAAGTGTTAAACACAAATTTTCAAACTCAAGTTGTCGAGAAGCAGCAGATAGTTCTCAATTCTGTTCCAACCTTGTCTCTGCAATGCCTCCATAGCCATCTCCAACATCAACAACAGTGCCAGTTGCACCAAATCTCTGAATAATATTTGGTGGTACACCTACAATGCAAGCAGAGCTAATTTGGACTTTAAGTAGGGAACAAAACAAAGTTAATGAATTCAGTTTAATAGTTGTTAATATATATTTTTTTGTGTATGATTTTAGCTTTCTTCTTTTATGGAAAAGTTTTCAAAATTCTTCTGGTCCCACAGAACCCTTTTCCAAGCCAAGGTCTAAGACCCAGTCACTTTCTATGCCTGTTCAGGTCTCTCATGCTGTAGAAACGGAAGCTGAACCAATGCAGGCTGGACATACAAGGCTAACCCCTGAGGAAAGACTAAGACGTGTCAGAAGCAAGCTTTGCATCTACTGTGGTGAGACTGGCCATTTCATCGCTTCATGTCCCGCTAAGTTAAAAGCCGGGGCCCGTCAGAAGATCTGAGGAGTCTGACGGGCCATTTAACTTCCGAGAAATCTCCTCGTCTCATGCTTCCAGCTACCTTGTGCTTTTCAGATCAGACTCTCACTTTGTCTGCTTTCATCGACTCAGGCTGTGAACGCAATCTGATAGACTCCAACCTGGTTCAGCAGCTAAAAATTGATACTATCCCTTTATCCAAGCCTCTTTGTGTCTCCGCTATTGATGGGAAAAGACTCCACCAAGTCACCCACCAAACACAACCCCTCGAGCTGCTGATTTCAGGTAATCACCGGGAAACTCTGACGTTTTTTGTGCTTCCCTCTGCATGTTCCCCTGTGGTGCTTGAGTTCGAATGGCTGCAACGACATAATCCCCATATAAACTGGGCTGATGGCCACATCGAAGCATGGTCGACCTCATGTCACGAGACTTGCCTTCGTTCCGCAGCTCCCGCTGTAAGGTCTCCTAGAGGTAGGGGGGAGATGGACTCTCCTGACCTTACTTCTGTTCCGTCCGAATACCATGATCTGGCTCCTGTCTTCAGTAAGGTCAGTGCTACGTCTCTTCCACCTCACAGACCATATGACTGTGCGATTGAGCTATTACCTGGCTCCCCTCTACTTAGCAGTAGACTTTACAACATTTCTAAACCCGAACGAGAAACTATGGAGAAATACATAAACGAGTCCCTAGCTGCTGGCATAATCCGCCCTTCTTCCTCTCCGTTGGGTGCAGGATTCTTTTTTGTGGGTAAAAAGGATGGTTCTCTAAGACCTTGTATCGATTTCAGAGGCCTTAACCAAATAACAGTCAAAAATAAATACCCACTTCCGTTACTAGCATCAGCCTTCGAACCAGTTCAAGGGGCCACCGTCTTCACTAAACTCGATTTAAGGAACGCTTATTACCTTCTCAGGATTAGAGAAGGTGACGAATGGAAAACAGCCTTCAAAACTCCTTTAGGTCAGTTTGAATATTTAGTCATGCCTTTTGGTCTCACTAATGCTCCAGCATGTTTCCAAGCCCTGGCCCTTGATGACATCCTAATTTACTCTAAAGATCTCTCCGAGCATAAGAAACACGTCCGCCTGGTCCTACAGAGATGACTGGAAAACAAACTTTTTGCAAAAGCTGAGAAATGTGAATTTCACCAGTCTTCAGTGACATTTTTAGGGTTTGTGCTCAGGGTCGGGCAGGTTAAGCCATGCGAAGAAAAGATAAAAGCAGTTTTGGATTGGCCAGTTCCTGAAAACCGTAAACAGCTGCAGAGATTCCTGGGCTTCGCAAACTTCTACCGTCGCTTCATCAGGAATTACAGTCAGACAGCTTTACCCCTCACAACTCTAACTTCAGTCAAAAAGACTTTCCAGTGGACCCCCAAAGCTAAAAACGCCTTTGACAAACGTAAGACTTTGTTTTCCAGAGCCCCCGTGTTAATCCAGCCTGATCCAACCAAGCAATTTATCCTCGAAGTGGACGCCTCTGACTCTGGAGTTGGTGCAGTACTATCTCAAAAACTCGATTCGGATCAAAGAATACATCCTTGTGCTTTCTTTTCTTGTAGACTTTCTCCTGCTGAACAGAACTACGACGTTGGGGATCGTGAGCTTTTGGCCATCAAATTGGCATGGAGGAGTGGAGACACTGGCTTGAAGGAGCTCAACACCCGTTCCTAGTATGGACCGATCACAAAAACTTAGCCTACATCCAGTCTGCTAAACAAGCAAACCCGCGCCAGTCTAGATGGTCACTCTTTTTCTCCCGTTTCAACCTCATCATCTCTTACAGACCCGGATCCAAAAACACCAAGCCCGATTCTCTCTCTCGTCTCTACTCCGTTGATCAATCCAAGACGCCTGCACCCATTCTCCCGGCATCCTGCACAGTTGGAGTGGTTACCTGGGAAATCACTGACCTGATAAACTCTGCCCTGGCCTCTGGACCAGACCCAGGTAACGGTCCTCCAAACAGAACCTATGTCCCTTCTTCAGTCAGATCACGGCTGATCCAATGGATGCATGCAGCCAAGTTTTCCGCTCATCCGGGGGTAAGCAGAACCATCCATTTAATTTCAAGACGTTTCTGGTGGCCTACTCTACACAAGGACGTGAAGGAGTATGTTCTGGCCTGCCCTGTCAGCGCAAGAAACAAGACTTCAAATCAACCACCCTCAGGTTTGTTGAACCCACTACCTGTACCTACTCGTCCCTGGTCTCACATAGCCATCGATTTCGTCACTGGACTTCCCATCTCCCGAGGTATGACAACCATTTTCACCATGATCGATCGATTTTCTAAATCTTGCCACTTAATTCCTCTCAGAAAGCTCCCCACAGCCTTCCAAGCAGCCCAGCTCCTAGTTAAGCATGTCTTTCGACTATCCTGAATATCCTGAGGAATTCCTCAAGATATTCTCTCAGACCGTGGTCCTCAGTTTATTTCCCAGGTTTGGAAGGCTTTCTGCGCAGCTCTCAATTGCAAATCTTCTCTAACGTCTGGTTATCATCCACAGTCTAATGGTCAAACCGAAAGAAGGGGATGTCTCGCAAACTGTCTCCTAGATACATTGGTCCATACAAGATTTCCAAGGTCATCAATCCTTCAGCCATACGTCTGCAACTTCCTGCTAGTCTCCGTATACATCCCACGTTCCACGTCTCTCAAGTAAAACCAGTGGCTTCTAGTCCTTTGTGCCCTCTGTCCGACTCCCCTCCACCCGCCCTGGAAGTCGATGGACATCCTGCCTACACCGTCCGCCGGTTCGTGGACTCCCGTCTTCGAGGTCGCGGTTGGCAGTACCTCGTCGACTGGGAGGGCTACGGTCCGGAGGACCGCACATGGATTCCTGGCTCCTACATCCTCGATCCGTCACTGATCGAGGAGTATGAGCGCTCCCTCCCGTCGACGTCTTCTGGACCGCCAAGAGGCGGTCGTTGAGAGGGGGGTACTGTTGGGATCTGGAGCGGTACCATCCGTCTCCAGCAGAGTGCGCCGTGGATCCTCCTGAAGCTGAGCCTCCAACACATCTGAGGCGCATCTCGTCATCAGGAGGACCTGCAGTATATAACCGGCCTTCAGACCTTGCCTCAATGCCGCAGTGTTGATCCAGTTTGGTTAGCACCTAAGCCTAGAACCTCCTGAGAATCTCTAGAGATCTCCCTAGTGATCAGTCTCTCTTCTAACTTTCGTTGTCTATGCTTCACAGGAAACCTGTTCCCTTGGAAGCTCTGGATGAGCTTAACCTGCCTAACCTGCCCTCAGAGCCAAACCTGAAGACTCTCCTCTGGATTCCCCTGCAGCTCTTGGCTAAGAGCTGGAAACCAAAACCCAAGGTCTGCATTCAAGTTAGAAGTAAGACGCTGAAGCGGTTATTGAACTCTGCTGAACAAATCAGTCTCTGGACCCAACAGTTCCTTCCTCAAAGAGAAACATGGACTCCTCAAGGTATTCTTCTGAAACTTCAAAACACAAACTCCCCTGTGCCAACGCTAACTGAACTGTCATCCTCACAGACTCCAGTGAACCCGTCCCCGGCCAGAACCAGTTCCAGTTCACATGATTATTGTGCTTGTGTTTTAAATAAACATTATAAAACTTTCCATCTGTTTCCGTGGTGTTCTGCATATTGGGCTTCTCTGAGAACCAATCATGACAGAATGAAGCAGA